TTATGATTGAGTGAGTGAGTGAATGTGTGTGTGAGTGGTGTGAGAACGTGCACGTACGAACAGATTTAATTACATATACAGTGAAAGGTACAGGCATAACATGACACATACACACACACACACACACATATATATATATATATATGTATATATATATGTATATGTATATATAAAGTGAGAGATATTAATTACGTAGATACACTATTTAATAAAAAATTAGGAAATCAAAAGGGATTTATTCCACTCATATACACATATATATATATATATATATATATATATATATATTTATATATGTATATATATATATATATATTTATATATATATATATATATATATTGATTTTGTTGATACCATTATAAAGACCGATCAAACGCGCACGTGTTACGTCAAGTGTTTGATATTTACAGATCGATTCGCATTCGTTTCTTATTTTTCCAATATTGTTATTTTCTTTCTTTCTTTCCTTTTTTTTTTTTCTTATTCGTTCGTCTCTTTTCCTCTTTTTTTTTTTGTTTTCCCTTTTATCTTCTCGCTGTTTAATACGCATATATTATATTTATTTTTATTTAAGACTCTTTTTTCTTTCTTTCTTTCTTTCTTGTTGTTTATTTATTTTTTTTTTTTTTTTTTTTTTTGACGAGACGAAGATCGCACGATTTTCTACGTTACTATAATAGGCCGACGATCATCACGATCAATTTTTTTACATGTTTTTAAATATGTCTGCGTATTATATGTGTATATATATATATATTTGTGTATGCGTGTGTGTGTGTGTACTTGTATTTAATTAACGTTTGACATAATTTTACGAAGAATTGAAATTTATTTATTCGCTGAAATAATGTCAATTTTTCGTACCTCTCGAAGTTCGCTATCAACAAATACGAGTGTCGATTGTATTTCTTTTTCTTATATATGTATATAAAAAAAAAAAAGGAAAAAAGAAAAACAACAAGAAAAGAAAAAAAAAAAAAGAAAAGAAATTAATCATTTAGAGAATGGACCGTAAATTCTTAAGCGTGGCAAAAATTTTCTGAAAGATATTAAAAAAATCTTATTAAGTTTGCAATTTAACAAGACAAAGGATTATATAACTTTTACGATCTATAAATAAAATTGGCCTGAACAGTCTTTGAAAAAGTGTTATTTATTTTTAATATCATCTTTTGTGAGAAAAATGATATTAGAAATAATTCGATTCATCTACAGAGAATTTTTGATCCACGTATATATATATATATATATATATGTATATATATATATATATATATATATATATATATATATATATATAAATATACGTATATATATATATATACGTTGAAAAAAACAATTATACATATACATGTATAAATACATACATATATGAATGTATATATATAAACATATATATATATAATGAAAAATGCTTTGACACTCGAACAATTGATTGATAGTTTTTCCTTCCGTACGAAAAATTAACTACTCTCTCTCTCTCTCTCTCTCTCTCTCTCTCTCTCTCTCTCTCTCTCTCTCTCTCTCTCTTTCTCGAAATTTCAAGAATAAAAAAAAAAAAAAAAAAAAAAAAAAAACAAAAAAAAAGAAGAAAAAAGAAAAGAGTTCAAACATGTCGGATCGTTAGGATTAAAAAAAAGGACAGAAACAGAGATGAATTTTATTCGAGTTATTTAAAAAGTATAAAAGAGAGAAAAAAAATATATATATACATACACATATAAAAAAAAAAAAAAAAAAAAAAAAGAAACGAAAATAAAAAAATTTCGATCGAAGCTCGAATGGATAGAGTATTTTTTCTTTTTTTATTTTTCTGTTCTTTCTTTTTTGTCTCAATTTTTCTCTTTTCCTTTCCGTTGTCTCTCTTCTCTCTTCTCTCTCTCTCTCTCTCTCTCTCTCACTCTCTGTCTGTCCCTCTCTCCCATCCTCTCCATCTCTTTTTCACTCAATTTTTTTTCTTTACTTCATAATTTTTTTTTTTCCATTTCAAACATTCTTTCTTGCTTTTGTTGTTAAATTCTTTTTACTTCTTTTTACTTCTTTTTTTTCTTTTTTTTCTTTTTTTACGAGTCTCTTCTTGCTCGTCGATGATTCGTCGCAGCTCGATCATTATAGTCCACGGATCATCACTCGATATACATACATGTTGAACACATGATGACGTAGAACAGAGAGAGAGAGAGAGAGACAGAGGGAGAGAGAGACAGACAGAGAGAAAGTGAGAGAGAGAGAATGAAAAGAGGGGGAGAGAGAGATAGAGAGAGAGAGGGAAAGAATACTGATAGACAGAATTTTTTAGAAGAAGAAGAAGAAGAAGAAGAAGAAGACGAAGAGGAGATGGACGACGACGAGTCGTAAACAGCGTACGTTCACTCGCGCTGTAGAATTTCCTGATTTGTTCGATAAAAAGAAAAATCTTTGATGAGAAATAGAGAGAAAGAGAGAAAGAGAGAAGAAGAAGAAAAAGAAAAAAAAAAAAACAAGAAAGAAAAAAGCAAGCTTTCAGAGAAAAATTATAATTTCTTTTTCCCCTAGGCCCCTTACCCCACCCCTCCTCTTCGCAACTCGGATCGTTCCAAAGTCCTTCTCTTTTTTTTTTTGATTTTTATCGTTCTTTTTTGTTCGTCGTTCGAATCCTTCGTGATTCGAATTAAATTATTTATAATTAATAAATATATAACGTAACATAAAAATTGTACTACATACTTAATATTATTTTATTTCAATGTATTCATTTAATTTCTATTTATTATTATTATTGTTATTATTATTATTATTTTTTTTTTTATTATTATTATTAATATTTTTTTAATAATTTTTTATAATACATTTTTATATTATTATTACATACTACTTAATAATTGCTTTTCTTTTATTATTATCATATATAAATTATATATAAATTATATAATAATAATAATAATAATAATAATAATAATAATAATAATAATAATAATAATAATAATAATAATACTAATAATAATAATAATGCCATTGTATACAATTTTCTTTTTTTCAATGAAAAATTTTATTTATCAAATTGTATTGAAGTTTTAATATTATTTTAGATGAAAGAAACGTCGAACAAAAATTCCAAATCGGATTAAAATTAATACAAGTAGACTATTTTCTTTTTTTTTCTTCTGTCTCTTTGTAAGTCTGACGAGAAAGAAAAGAGAACAAAAAAGGAGAAAAAAAGAAAGAAAAATAAAAAAAAAAAAAAAAAAAAAAATAGAGAAGAATAAAAGAAGAAAAAAATATCTTTTCGAATAGAATCGCCGAATGCCGTCGCAAGTTTTTCAAGGTCTCATGTTTTTTTTTGTTTATCTACTCATAAAACATCGTTCGTACGTATATATGTAAAGTAAATACACGGTGTGACGATGTTTTTGGTATGCAAGGTATTCGGTCTGATACGCTGATATACTTAAAGACATTTCAAATCGAAGAGAATACGAAGAGACTTATGTTAGTCATGTGAATACGCGCGCGCGCGTACGTATGCGTTTGTGTATTGTGTATTGTGTATTGTGTATTGTGTACGTGGAATGTGCGTCAGTATTTTCATGTGCGTTTAGTAAGCATTCACATAAATGAAGAGGCATTTAATGTTTCTAAAAAAAAAAAAAAAAATAAATAAATAAATAAATAAATAAAAAGAATATATATATATATATATTTCTTGAAATATAAAAAACCATTTATTAATCGATCAATTCATAATTAATTAGACAAATATAAATAATTAATTAGACAAATATAAATAATTTGTCGGTGATACTTTGGAACGGTCCTCGTGTTGCTCGATCGAGATAGCATTTAGCCAGAATAGGAAACGACATCAATGGGATATATTTAAAGGAAATTATTTTAATACCAGGAATATCACACAATTATTTATGAGGATCATTGATGATCGCTTCCTCGAGACGACGATGACGATAGAAGGAAAAAAAAGAGAAAAAGAACAGAAAAAAAAAAAAAAACAAAAAAAAAACAAAAAGAACAAATATTTTTCACGACACCGACGTCCTCGAGGAAGCACACACAAACTATACACATACACGTATTACGGTTATTTATTTTGACGGGAAATTTTTTTTTGTTCTTTTTTCTTTTTTTTTTTTTTTTTCTTTAGCTAGCTATGACAAACCCTCGGCCACTCGATTGAATGATGGATATAGCATTTGATGGGTTAGTTTCTTTAGGGAGAATGGTAGTGGTGGTGGTGACGGTTATGGTTGTGGGGAGGGCAGGGGTGAGGGGGGCGGGCGTTTAAAGGAAATTTTCTATTCGATTTTGTCGATCGTTTTTTCTATGTCCGAGTCAAACAAATAATTTCGTCATATATACAAATGATTTTAACGAATAAATTATTTTAAACTAAATTCTATCACATTTTACAATTAAATTCGTAATAATAAACTCGAAGGATATAACGATAAGATTTGTACGAGCGATAATAGATCACTATTACGTTGTATATTTATATAATTTCAATTGATAAATAAATTATTTAATTATAAAATTATAAAATATATATTTATATACGCACACACACACACACATTTATATATATATATATATATATATATATATATATATATATATATATAAATGTGTATAAATTTTAAATATGCAAGTATTTTTGTTCTTTTTCCCTTGAAATATATAAGAATAAATCGATTGAAATTTAGAAATAAATAAAACTTAATATGTACGATTAAATTCGTACAAAATTCATTAAATTAATATAATTAATTTCATTATCTCGTGAACGAAAGAAATTTCTTTGATTATTTTTACTCGTAAACGAAGAAAAAACGATCGCAAAGAGTGATCATCGTGATCAAAGAAGAAGAAGAAGAAGAAGAAGAAGAGGAAGATAAAAAAAAGACAAAACAAACAAATATATATATATATATATATATATATATATATATATATATATGATCGATCGATGGATCGATAGATCTCAGTATAATGGGGTTGAACTTACCATTTCGGTGGTGAGACTGGCTAGTGCCTCTTCAACGGTCGCTGCGATTCTTCCACCATCTTCGGAACGTTGACTCCCTCTGATCGGCGTAGTTGGACATCCTAAAATTATCGTCAATCATAATAGGTGCAAAAAGACGGTGCCAGGCCTAACGGACCTGTTGTATTTAGCCTCTTATGCGAAGATCTATTTAGCGATCGTGTTGGCAAAAATAGTCGAGTCCAATCTAGCCGTTCTCTAAATTTAAGCTTAGATCGTTACTTTCGAGGATTTTATCGAACAAAAGATCAAAAATAATTATCCTTATTTTTTTTTTTTTTTTTTTTTTTTTTCTCCAATAATAAATAATTAATTTTCGATTATAATCAATATAACAATCAATTAAATACAATAACTTTTTATATAATAATTTTTATATGTTATCCAATATATACAATTGATAAATATAAATTATATTACATATAATTTGTCAATTATTATCAATCAATAAATAAATGTCAAATCAAATTATATGAAAATATAAATGACGAAATAAATTTTGTTCAACAATTACCTCGATAGTACAAAGAAATCTTAGAAAAAAAAAGAAAAAAATAAAAAAAAAAAGAAAGAAAAAAGAGAAGAAAAAAAAAAGAAAAAAAAATGCATCGATACGAAGAAGAAGAAAGTGCGTTCCTAGCATTGGTGTTGTTAAAGTGTCACTGAACACGAACACGCGTGTGTGCGCGCGCGTGTGTGTATATATATATATATATATATATTCGTGTATACGCGTGTTTGTGTTCTCAGCTCTAAAACGTGAATGGAGTCAAGCGTGTGTGATATAAAAAGACTTAATAAAAAAAGTGATGTGCTTAAAAGGCATAATTAGCGTAATAATAGAAAAAATAGTGAATATCGTGGTAAAACTTATCTCTAAACTCGTGGTCGATCCTAAGCGACGATAGATTGCTCGATTAGGGTAAAACATGAAAACTATACAGAATGGACGAAGGTATATACAAAGGGGAACAAAAAAAAAAAAAGAAAAAAAAAGAAAAGAAAAAGAAAAAAAAGAAACAGATAAAATAGACAGATAACGAACGATATATCAACAAAGGGAAGATGAAGAAGAAGAAGAAGAAGAAGAAGAAGAAGATAAATAAAAAGAAAACGAAGAAAAGAAAGAAAGAAAAAAAAATCGAAGAAAAGAAAAATTTTTTAAATGTACAGGGTTGGGCCAAAGCTCTGTAAATAGGTCAAAGGTTTTTCAACGATTTTCAAAATTAATTAATTTTATTTCCTAACACTCATGGATATATTTGGAGAATATTTTATTTCAGATTGTAAAGTTACAGGATTAGCTCGATTAAAATTGTCCGATTAATTGCAAGCGTGAATTGTCATCGAAAGGGATATAATTAATTAATTTTAAAAATCATCTAATCAAATTTGGCCTGCTTAGAAACTTTTAGTCCACTCGTACGGTATTACAGAGGATTTATCAACTAAAAAGAGATAGACTGAGAGATAGAGAGAGAAATAGAAAAAGAGAGAGAGAGAAAGAGAGAGAGAGAGAGAGAGAGAAAAAAATGAGTGTCGATCAATTGACCTCTCATTTTCTCTCTCTCTCTCTCTTCTCTCTCTCTCTCTCTCTCTCTCTCTCTCTCTCTCTCTCTCTCTCTCTGTCTTTCTTTTTCGTGTCCATTGTTTCTTTCCTTTATTTTTTTTGTTGTCCTTGTAATTTTAATTTGCAATCTTTTTTTCTTATCTTTTTCTCTTCGTAACGTATTTATACTTTATTGTCGCACTCATTATAGTCGTAGAAAGAAAATAAATCAAATATATACTTTGAGATGCGTACACGAACAAACACACACAAACACACACGTATACACACACACGCACACAAAATATTGATTAATCAATCAGAAATAAGCTAGACAGGGCTAATGAAGGATATACGATAATTTAACGTAAGTATGTTTTATATTGTATTGTATTTGTATTATATTGTATATCGTATATATTATTAAAATCGTGTCAGATTTTATCGTGTCGAACTCGATTTAGATCGTTTATTATTATTATTATTATTATTATTATTATTATTATTATTATTATTATTATTATTATTATTATTATTATTAATATCGTTATTATGATTATTTATTTTTTATTTTATATATATATATATATATTTTTTTCTTCTATTCATATCAATTTTATTCTCGAGTATGATTTCGAGAGCGTCCATTGAATAGAAAATATTCGAAATATTTCAAAGTTCTAAATTTTTTGTTTCACGTGAACGAATATATATACTTTTTTTTTTATTTTTTTATTTTTTTTTTTTAATATTTTCTTTTCTCCTTTTTTTCTTTTTTTTTTTCCCTAACCAAACATCAGATCAAATAAACTCACATCGCAAAAACATTATTACAATTATTCTCATAAGATAGACGCTCTTGATGTGGCAGTTAAATGAACGTCCATTAATGTATTAATTCGATTACACGGGGGTGGATGTTTATGTGAATTAAATGTGTTTTCTCCTCGCAAGAATCTACGGACGATAACTTTGAAATACAATTTACAACATATAGACAATAATAGAGATTAGATTTTTAGGCACTGAGTTATACTTTTTTTTTTTTTTTCGGAGGAAGGGGAGCGAAGGGAGATTTTTCTTCTTCTCTTTGATTTTTTTTTTTCTTATTCGACGAGGGTTGGAGAGGCGACTGATGTTGCTCATGTTTCCGTTTATTTTTTTGTATCTCTTACGATTTTTCAAATCTCTCATTCCTTCATTCTCTCTCCCTCTCTCTCTCTCTATCTCCCTCTCTCTCTTTCTCTCTCTCTCACTCTCTCTTTCATTTTTTCATTTTCTCTCATTTTCTCGTTCTCTCTCTCTCTCTCTCTCTCTCTCTCTTTCTCTCCTGCTATTTTAAAAAAGTAAGTAAATTAACTTAACAGTTTCTCCTACGATTAGAACGAGTTACGAAATTATCCAGGTTAACGATACCTGCAATTATAAAGAGAGAATCAAAGGCAATGGTGATGCATAACATTTAGACGGCTCTTGTTTAAACTCATTTTTGTTTAGAAAAAAAAAAAAAAAATACATATATATATATATATATATGTGTATATATGTAAAAAAAAAAAAAAAAAAAAAAAAAAATAAAAAAAAATAAAAAAAAATAATAATAAAATAAAAAAAAAAAATTAACAACAAAGAATTCTAGTATATTGAGTATCCATGATGTGTATGCAACGTTACGATTGATTCCTTTCTTTTTTTCTTTTTTCTTTTTTTTTTTTCTTTTCTTTTTGAAATCTAATCTGTCATTATAATTGACAGTTAGAGTTAACTCTATTTGGCAGTAAAATCTAGCAAGTTTTTCTTTTCTTTTCTTTTCTTTTCTTTTTTTTTTATCTACCTAAAAGCATAACACTTCGAGTATATTAAAAAAAAAAAAAAAAAAAAAAAAAAAAATAGAAGATTAGAAAATTGACAATAAGTATACTTAGAAATTTTATCGGCCAGCGAAGAAAGATTGAACGTAAATTGAATTTGTCGATGGATTAACTCGAAGGATTAAGCTTTTCGTTTTACTTCGAGCCAAGCATGTTTTTTTCTTTTTTTCTAATTGCTGTGTTATTATTTTTCTTCTTCTTTATTATCATTAATATTATTATTATTATTATTATTATTATTATTATTATTATTATTATTATTATTATTTTTATTACTAATCAGAATTAATATTTAAGATATCGATCGAGATAAGTCTTTCTAAATTCGATAGGAGGAACGACGAACGAACGTGTCACGAGTTTGATAATGTCTATGTGTATATCAAAGAATATTTTAATAATAATAAAAATAATAATAATAATAACAATAATAATAATAATAATAATAAAAATCATAATTAACTATATAATAATAATTATACTTTCTTTGAAATCGAATGACAGAATTCGTGGCAAGAGTTGATCGGATTTAATGTTCACATTAATTCCACTTGTATTAAAATGATTTTGCACGATTTAAGAAAAAAAAAAAAAAAAAAAGAAAAAAAAGGGAGACGATTTCTAATTAAAATTAAATATAACTAACGTGACACGAGTATTTATAAAAACGAAATATAATCCTCGGGCCAATCGTAAACATTTTCTCGTCGATATCCTATTATCATTAATCGATTTAACCGTCATCTCCTTATCAGAGAAAAATTCATGTTAGAAATAGAAGAAGAAAAAAAAAGATGATAAAAAAGATAAGGAGAATAAGAATAAGAATAAGAATAAGTAGAAGAAGAAGTGATAAAAGAAGTAGAAGAAGTAGAAGAAGTAGTAGAAGAAGAAGAAGAAGAAGAAGAAGACGACGACGATGATGACGATGACGACGATGACGAGGAGAAAGTAAGGAGAAGACGACGTAGTAGTTGTTGACGAGAGTAGGAGACCATCTTCATGATTTGTAGTAGATGTTGAGGGCGTAGATGAACTTACCTATGTCACCGCTGCTAGAACTTTCGGTGAATGATGGAGTCCCTTCGGTCCACGTTGGGGTTGATCCCTCGGCACTACCTGCTGGTGGTGTCCACGTTAAACCTCCACCACCACGACTGCTACCACCACTTTCAACGCTCAGAGATGATTTTGTCTCCCTACCACCGCTACCACCACTACCACTTCCACTACTCTCCAAGTGTACGTCCGATATACTAAGAACAAAGATTACGTTTACGTTCATTATTCATATGCACATATATATATATATATATAAATAGCAATTTAATATGTAATAATATGATATATATATATATATATATATATATATATATATAGTATATAGTACTACATATATAGAGTGTTTATATTCTATATATTATACCAATATTAACTATAATATTGGTATTATATTATGTTATATAATGAAAATGTAGAATATACATATATATATATATAACACTTTAATATATATATATATATATATATATATATATACTATAACTATTAACTATAATATTGATATAATATTATATTACATAACAAAAATGTAGAATATATATATATAAAATATCACATATTAAATTGTACAATAAAATTTTACATGTTAAGAATTATATATATATATAAAAAAGAGAAAAAAGAAAAAAAAAATCAGATCCTTAATTCTCTGAATAAAATTTCTTACCTCACAGCATCCTGACTGGTTTTAGTAAGAGTAACATGATGGACGACCTTGTTTTGCTTGGAATGGGCACTGCTCAGACTGCTGGTAAGTATACTTGTAGTAACAGCTTGCTGTAGGTGACCACCGGAAGCCAATGTCTGGTCGTTTGAGCGGACTGCATCGTCAAAAGGCGGGGGCGGGGTGGAACAGGTAGAGGGAAGGGTGCCACCTACAAAAAGCGCAACTACAATTAGCGACTAATGAATACTGAATATTCTGCTATTCTCCACGGGCATCTTGGTTTTTTCCCGCCCCCCCTCCCTTTTCTTTTTTCAACTTTTCTAATTTTTTTTTTTTTCTTTCTTTCCTAGCTGCCCTCTCTAAACGGGAGCATTTGTGAGCGACGTTGGTTGAATTATTTTCCCTTGAAAATATTTTGGTAATATTTTCAGTGAACGTCGGGCGGTAAAAGAGGGATGGATGGGAGGGAATGATGATTAGAATTAGATTTTGACGTTTCTTTTTTTTTCTTTTTTTTTTTAGGTGATCGTGAAATCATAGGGATTATGGGTATCAATAAAATTCTGAGTGAATTTTTTTCTCTCTTTTCTTTTTTTTTTTTTCTTTCTTTCTTTCTTTCTTCAATCGTACAAGAAATCGTTCGTGTAAAACGATCGAAAGCTTTTTTTGGAAAAAAAAAAAAAACAGAAAAAAAAGATCTTTTCGAAGGATAAAAGAAAAATACTAAAGCGAATATACGAAAAAATCGAGAGAGAGAGAGAGAGAGAGAGAGAGAGAGAGAGAGAGAGAGAGAGAGAGAGAGAAAATAAACGGAAACAAAAACAAAAAGGTAAGTATTTGAAAAAGTTGTTTCTTTTTCTTTTTCTTTTTTTTTTCTTTTTCTTTTCTTTTTCAGTTTAAACTTTTGTACTTATATACTACGCAGGCAGGATTGTATATCGTAATAAAATGAAATATTTCTAACTAAGGAAACAAATCTTGGAGATAAGAGGGGATGATACTGCGATTAAAAAGAGGGTGGGAACATTCTAATCGCGTGAACGTCCCTTTCTTCATCTCCGTAAATACAAATGTACAATATACACACACACACATACACACACACAGACATACGCACACGCACACGCACACACGCAGAGATAATAATACCAAGCCAAAACTCGAAGCAAACAATGCCAAGCGCAAGCTACTATCGAAGACGACGATCATGTATATGTATATAAATATAATATATATATATATATACATGTATTTTTTCATATATCTAAATACATATATATATATACATATATATGTGTATAGTATACTCAAAAGAGGGATTGAGCAAAACAGGCAAATATACGAGATCCTAAAGCATGCAACAGGATATGTATACTTCGAAGAGAGTCGAACACAGAGAAAAAAAAAAAAAAAAACAAAAAAAAAAAATTGCACACAATCGGTGTCGTTTCCTCGACCATTTATTGTTATCTTAATGTTTTATTATTATTATTATTATTATTATTATTATTATTATTATTATTATTATTTATTTATTTACTTCGTCGAACGAAAATCGATAGGCCTCGGTCGATGTCCCAATATCGACGTTCCGAGCTAGATGAATTCAAAAGGAAAGATAATAATGGTGGTCGGGGCGGGGAGTTGGGAACTGAGTGGTAGTAGTGAGTGAGGCTGACAAGATCCAAAATTTGTGTTAAAACGAAATTGTGTTGTTTCATTTGCCGTCAAATTCGTCCTTGTTTTGTTTTTTGGGGGAAACAAAAAAAAAAAAAAAAAAAAAAAAAAAACAAAAAAAACAAAGCCCTAACTGTACTATTGTTACAGTGATATCAAGAGGAACAACTATCATAGACAACGATAAACACGTTAAAGAAAGAAACTCGAATTGAAAAAAAAAAATGTAGAGTGTGTGTGTGAGAGAGAGAGAGAGAGAGAGACAGATAGATATATAGATAGAGAGAGAGAGAGGGAGGGAGGGAGAGAGAGAGAGAGAGAGAAAGAGACAGAGAGAGAGAGAGAGAGAGAGAGAGAGAGAGAGAGAGAGAGAGAGAGAGAGAGAGAGAGAGAGAGAGAGAGAGAGAGAGAGAGAGAGAGAGAGAGAGAGAGAGAGAGAGAGAGAAAGAGATAGATGAGATGCAGAGATGGATGTAACACGAAAGTAAAAAAATAATTTTTTTTGTGTATGTGTATGTGTATGTTTATTCGTGTGTGTGTGTGTGTGTGTCCGCGTTCATCGACATGCAGAAATAAAGAATCGTGTAAGGTGTTGTCGTCCTTTATCATCATCGTCGTCATCTTTAACATTTCAA